ATCAGCCAAGAAGCAAGATGACATGCTGCTGAAATGAAAACTTGACAAAAACCCTGCAGCACAGCCATTTGCTAACGGTTTGCAGAAGGAGCCACAATAGATGATCAGTGAGCACATTCTGGAGACCACAAACTTTCATTCCTCTGGTAAGCATTTGGTATCATTTACCGAATCTGTAATTCCTGTGACCCTGGACAAATTTGTAACATCGCCTATAAAATGAAGAGACTATTACTGACTCGACGAGGCTGTTTTAGGAATTAATGACTTCATGAATGTAAAGAAAAAGACACAGTATTTGGAACACTGTAAGAACTGGAATTAATTTTCCTATCACCCTCATCCTCTCCATATTTATAAACAATTTTAAAACACCACATGTAATTAAGACCCAAATCCCTTCTTGTATCTATTAATTCAAATAGTGACTGACTGCTCATCATGGGTCCCTGATCTTGAAGAGGCTATAAGTCCACTCTGCTCAAATCACCTTGTGTTCAGGATCTCTGATGTGAGACAGGGAACGAGTCACGAGCACACTAGGCACTTTGATGCCTTCTGCACACTAGTTTTAGAGTCCTCCTCCCCTGCCAGCTGGAAACTTCGATTCACTATCCTCCATTTCATTCTTTCTAGTTCTACCTGTTTTTAAATAGAGTTCTACCTGTTTTTTAAAATCGACCTCAAGTGTCATCTTCTCACTAAACCTTTTCTAAATACTTTTCTACTGTCTGTTCACTCTCTTAGAAAATCCCAAATATTCTATTATTCTCTTCTGGTACAAGCATAAAACTTAAACACTACAATTAAATATTCATAAGAACTACAACTCCTATATTCACATTCCCAACTGTGCCTGAAGGGGTTGGTACAAAAGAAGAGGTCAGGAGTGAATAAATCTTCACCAAATGAATAAATGAAAAATGTTCTATAGTATGCTTTGTGAGAACTATACCTTAAACCAGCAAAGTCCAAATGGCTGATAGAATTATTTACAGTCCCCTGAGAGGGCCTAAAGGATAAAAATAAACCCAAACCATCATTCTCTGAAAGGCATGCTCTCTGTGGCTTTTCTGTTGTGGGAGAAATCAAAGAGACTTCACCTTTTCAGGTTGCTGACCATCAGTATCTGTTTCCATTTTTTCCTCTTCAGCTCCTTCTACAAACAATAAGAACAAGTAACATAATATAGAAAGAAGTTAAAGCTATTATATAGCTGTGAGAGTGTCTGAAATACAACTACACAAAATAATATGGATGAATCTCACAACCACACAGTTGGCATAAAAAGTGTAACATAAAACAACACATACTTTATGATTCTATTAATGTAAACAGGTGTTAGAAATCAGGACAGCATTAACCAGCGAAGGGTGCAAAGACAGAAAGCAGGTCCTGTGTGGGAGGGGCCTAGGTGCTAATCTGTTTCGTGATCTTGGGGCTTTTTAATTTGTGAAATGCAAGAGCTGCCCACGTAGGTGCTCCACTTCTCTGTATTTATAAAAATGAAAAGTTCACGTTCCGGTCAAGATGGCAACGTAGGGAAACGCGGTATTGTGTCCTCCCACAACCACATCCAAGTTACGACTAACCTACAGAACCACCACCATTCAAAACCGCCTGAAATCAAGCTGAAGCCCTACAACTACAAAAGTAAAGCAGCAGCTGCATCAAGACTGGCAGGAGGGGCAGAGGAGCTGGTCCCACACCCACGTGTGGCAGATAAAAATTAGAAGGACACCTCAGCTGGGAAGGTCCTCTCTGAGGACCGAGGGGTCCCCGTTCCACACCAGGCGCCCAGCTCAAGGTTCAAGTGCCAGGGAGAGAAGTCCCTATAACTTCTGGCTGGAAAAACCAGCAGGAACTGACGCTCAGGGAGGCTGAGGCGGCGGCGGCTGGAGCCCCAGGCAGCTCCTCTTAAAGGGCCCGCGCACGGACTTATTGGACTCTCTCCCTCTAAGCTTGGATGGGAGGCAGTTTGAGGGGCACCAGAGACACACAGGGAAGAACTGAGCTGTTTGGCACTGGAGCGAGGGCTGGAGAGGGGGCTTTCTCTGGGACAGACGTGCTGTCAGAGGCCTTTGTTCCTTTGGTGAGCCCTTCCCTGGGGTGGCAGACAGCGCCAAATCTGGGACTCCAGCAACCTGGCTCACACTGGTAGCCCCGCCCTGGTGATTCCCTGAGGGCTCGCCCCCCCTCCCCCAACTTTCAGGCCCACCTAAGCTGTTGCCAGCTGGTTAACTACAGGATTGGTCTGTCTTGGATCCTGCTTCGTTTTCCGAAATTCTTTCAAACAAGCAGCATCTGGTCTCAGCTAGCCCCATACCTCTCGTTAAGTAATACACAGAAACAAACACGGGGGAGCCAAAATGAGGAGACAAGAAACAACCTAAACAAAAGAACAGAACAAAACTCCAGGAAATGAACTAAACAAAATGGAGATAAGCAACCTAAGAGATGCTGAGTTCAAAATACTGCTCATAAGGATGCTCAATGAACTTAGTGAGAACCTCAGTAAACTTAGTGAGGGCCTTAAGCGCATAAAAAAGGAGCAGTCAGAAATGAAGGATGCACAGTCAGAATGAAGAAGGCATTAACTTAAATAAAGAATAATTTACACAGATTCAATAGTAGAGTACGTAAAGCCAAGAAGCAAACCATCGATTTGGAATCTAAGGAAGCAAAAAACACGCAATCAGAACAGCAAAAAGAAAAAAGAAGCCAAAAAAGTGAGGATAGTGTAAGGAGCCTTTGGGACAACTTCAAGCATGCCAACATTTGCATCCTGGGGGTGCCAGAAGGAGAAGAGATAGAACAAGAAATCGAAAACCTGTTTGAAACAATAATGGCAGAAAACTTTCCTAACTTGGTGAAGGAAACAGACATACAAGTCCAGAAAGCACAGAGAGTCCCAAACAAGATGAACCCCAAGAGGCCCACACCAAGACATAACATCATCAAAATGCAAAAGGTTCAAGACAAAGAAAGAATCTTAAAAGCAGCAAGAGAAAAGCAGTTAGTTACTAATAAGGGAGTTCCCATTAGACTGTCAGCTGATTTCTCAAAAGAAACTTTGCAAGTCAGAAGGGAGTGGCAAGAAATATTCAGAGTGATGAAAAGCAAGAACCTACAACCAAGATTACTCTATCCAGCAAAGCTATCATTTAGAATCAATGACCACATAAAGAGTTTCCCAGACAAGGAAAAGCCAAAAAAGTTCATCACCATCAAACCATTATTATATGAAATGTTGAAGGGTCTTCTTGAAGAAAAAGATAAAAAATATGAACAAACAAATGGTAATGAATACAGAGCTATCAACAATTAAATCTACAAACAAAATGAATAAGCAGAACAGAAACATTCTCATAGATACAGAGAACATTTTGTTGGTTGCCAGATGGGAGGGGAGATGGGTGAAAAAGGTGAAAGGATTAAGAAATACAGCCCTGGCCGGTTTGGCTCAGCGGTTAGAGCGTCGGCCTGCGGTCCACAGGGACCCAGGTTCGGTTCCCACTAAGGGCATGTACCTTGGCTGCAGTCTGTCCCCGGCCCTGGTTGGTTTGTGTGGGTGGCGGCCACTCGATGTGTCCCTTTCACGTCGATGTTTCTCTCTCTTCCTCTCTCTCCTTCCCGCTCTATCTGAGTAAAAAATGGAAAAATGTCCTCGGGTGAGGATAAGAAAAAAAAAGAAATACAAATTGGTTGCTAGACTGACTGACAAACCTCGAAGGGAAGGGGGGTTTGGGGGATGGGAAGAAATAAACCAAAGAACTCATATGCATAACCAATGGACACAGACAATAGTGTAGGGAAAGGCAGGAGGGGGGCAGGACTGGGGAAGAGGGGGTTAATAGGGGGAAAATGAGGAACATCTGTAATACATTCAACGATAAAGATAAGTTTTAAAAAAATTAAAAGTTGATAAATTTTAAGTAAAATAGGAAAAAAGTTTCGGTTTTTATTTAACAGGCAATGAGTACATACATTCTGCGTCAGGCACTAGAGAAACAATGCTGATCTAGATATTTGCTAGAACTCGAGAGCATCATATTCTGGCTGGAGGACACACACCACCATGGATGCTTTGAGAAGCAAAGAGGGTACAACTGTCTCATTGGGAAAGATAAATAATTGCATAATCATTTCCTAGGCAGACACGGCTGGGTGTTATATGTATAGAAAGAGACAAAAAGACGTAAGGGTGCAGGGGAAATATAAGTCATTGGTGATGCCTAGAAAAGGGAGGGCAGAGCCCTGGCCAGTTTGACCAGTGGTTAGGGCGTCGGCCTGCGGACCAGAAAGTCCCGGGTTCGGTTCCCACTAAGAGCACGTACCTTGGTTGCAGTTTGTCCCCAGGCATGTGGGTGGCAACCAATGTGTCTCTCTCACATCGATGTTTCTCTCTCTCTTCCTCCCTCTCACCCTCCTGCTCTATCTGAAGATAAATACAAAAATGTCCTCGGGTGAGGATGTGAAAAAAAAGAAAAGGGAGGATAGAGAGAACAGATGTCAGAGAGGCAGATTAGGCCACATAATGAAGAGCCCTGAATGTGTTGCTAAGGCAGTGAACTATATCCTATAAATTAAAAGTTAATGAGAACTTAAAAAATTTTCAATTACAGTTGACATTCAATATTTATATATATATATACATATATATATATATATGCATGTGTGTGTGTGTGTGTGTGTGTGTGTATATATTTCTCACCCCGAGGACATTTTTCCATTTTTTTGTTCAGATAGAGCGGGACGAAGAGAGAGAAACATCGACGTGAAAGGGACATATCGAGTGGCTATCTCCTGCACAACCCAACCAGGGCCAGAGACAAACTGCAACTGAGGTACGTGCCTTTAGCAGGAACCAAACCCGGGTCTCTCTGGACCACAGGCCAATGCTCTAACCTCTGAGCCAAACTGGCCAGGGCGACAGTCAATATTATATTAATTTCTGGTGTACAGTATAGTGGTCAGACATTTACATAATTTGTGAAGTGAAGAAATACGGAACGCTTTCAAACTTGCGTGTCATCCTTGCAAGGGCCATGCTACTCGTCTCTGTATTGTTCCAATTTTAGTACATGTGCTGCCACCAAAGTAAGCATGATTTCAGAACTTTACAAAAACAAATATTTCCTATAAAGTTAAATGTATTATCCTGTTGTGAACAATAAGACTAACAATATTTATACTCAATGAGAATATGTAAAAATACTTCAAATGTTTGAAACTAACATTGTTAAAGTTAATCGACAGAAAAAAATCTCCCTTTCTCTCTCTCTTTTTTTTTTTTTTTAATCCTCATCCGAGGACATTTTTCCATTTTTTGTACAGACAGAGTGGGAGGGAGAGAGAGGAAGAGAGAGAGAGAAACATTGACGTGAAAGGGACACATCGAGTGGCTGCCACCCGCACGACCAACCAGGGCTGGGGACAACTGCAACCGAGGTACACGCCCTTAGCGGGAACCGAACCCGGGTCTCTCGGGACCGCAGGTCGACGCTCCAACCGCTGAGCCAAACCGGCCAGGGCCCTTTCTCTAATTCTTGAAAATAAATGAAATCAGATTATCTTGCCTCCAGAGTTAAGGCTGTCTAGGGGCTCCAAGGGATATAATATTTTGGGACATTGTGAATCTCACATAAAGTAGAAGAGCTTTTAAGGATCATCACCTTCTGAAATATGTCAAAAGCCTCCAGTACCAGAAGTAGGACCAAAGTATGAAAAAAAGTAGGGCCAGGACCTGAGCATTTGTTTGGGGATTTGGAGGGGCAGGGTCACTGAGACATAGTTGCCTGAGAAAGCTGAGCCATGGATGAGCCAGGTTCAGGGCAGAGAAAGCAAGCATGGGACTTCTACACAAGGCTGGCACAAGTGGAGTCACTGTGATCTCAAGCCAGAGGCAACCCCTGGCTACAAGAAGCAGAATCCTCTGCAGGCAGTTTTTTCCATTCTAATTTTAGCCAAAAGATGTCCAAGTGATGAGCTCACAAACAGCAAACACCAAAAAAGGAAGCCACTAAAATGGAAACATTAACCAACAGATTCAGAATCCAAGGAGTGCCAATATGAGATCTCTCAGATCCTGATTCTAGAATAGCCATGGATGCAATATGTAAATAAATAAAACAGAATTGCAAAGATCTCTAATAAAAATGAGAATACTGGAGGTAATCATTTAAGATTTAAAAAATAATCAAGAGACAAAAGCAGTGTAAACAAGGTTACAAAACTGTAAAACATATCTAAAGAAATGCTCCATATATAGGACCAGAACATGGAAAATACGTTAGGGAAGAAAAAATAGATGCCAGGCAAAAATGAATCCAAGGAATGGTTGCCTTTCCATAATATTAGTCAATACAAGTTAAGAATAGAGCATCATTAGGAATAGACAGTAACAACATAATGAAGATTTAATTCATCAGAAAATTATTAATTATTTATACTGTTAAGAATCTAATAAAAGAATATCAACAAAATGACATGGAGAAATGAAAATGTACATCACAGTGGGGGATTGGAAGATATTTCTGTCAATTAAGATATTCAGGGCATTGCCCTGGCCAGTTTGGCTCAGCGGTTAGAGCGTTGGCCTGCGGTCCGGAGAGACCCGGGTTCGGTTCCCGCTAAGGGCACGTACTTCGGTTGCAGTTTGTCCCCGGCCCTGGTTGGTCGTGTGGGTGGCAGCCACTCGATGTGTCCCTTCACATCGATGTTTCTCTCTCTCTCTCTCCCTCCCACTCTATCTGTACAAAAATGGAAAAATATCCTCGGGTGAGGATAAAAAACAAAAAAAAACAAAAGATATTCAGGGCATGGCCTGGCTGGTGTTGCTCACTGGTTGAGCGTCAAACCATGCACCAAGTCGCTGGTTCGGTCAGGGCACATGCCCAGATTGTGGGCCCAGTCCCCATTGGGGGCCATGCAGGAGGCAGCCAACTGACGTTCTCTCTCATTGATGTTTCTCTCTGTCTCCCTCTCCCTTCCCCTCTCTCTAAAATCAATAAAGAAAAAAAATTAATAAAAAAAAAAAGATACAGAGCACGTGATCACAGCAAGATGGTTCTAACGTATATGTGTAGAATTCTATACCCAGAAATTAAAGAATACATATACACACAATAATTTCGGCTCACATGAAACATTTAATAAATACTGATCACAAATTAAGTCATAAAACAAGTTTTTGCAAATTTCAAAAAGTCAATGACATTTTCTCATCAAATTCTCTCACCATAATACAATGAACTTAGAAGTTTCAGATATACAGATAAATTTCTCTGTCCTTGGAAATTTAACTAAGAATTAGTAAAAGTAACATCTAGAGGGAAATAAATGTAAAGGCTTACATGAGAAAAAAAGATTCCAACTTTATAAACTGTGTATGTCCTTCATAAGAAAGCAGAACAAGCTGGAGAAACCCAAAACTCTAATTCAAAAGAATATATGAACCTCTATGTTCATTGCAGCATTATTTAAAATAGCCAAGATATAGAAGCAACCCAAGTGCCCATCAATAGACGAGTGGACAAAAAAGCTGTGGTACATATATACAGTGGAATATTACTCAGCCACAAGAAAATATATAATCTTACCATTAATGACAGCATGGATGGACCTAGAGAGTATTATGCTAAGTGAAATAAGTCAGACAGAGAAAGACAAATACCACATGATTTCACTTATATATAGAATCTAAAGACCAATATAAAGGAATGAACAAAAAACAGAAACAGACTCACGAATAGAAAGAACAGACTGATAACGGTTGCCAGAGGGGAGGGGGGTTGGGCTGGGTGAAAAAGGTGAAGGAATTAAGAAGTACAAATTGGTGGTTAAAAAACAGCCAAGGGAATGTAAAGCACAGCATAGGGAATATAGTCAGTAACATGGGGTGGAGGACAAAAATAGATCTACAGTTGTTTGTGTGGAAAATAATACAATAATTAAATAATACAAGAATAAATTATGTTTCATTAACTCACATCTGTAAACCTACTTTTGTTCCACCCTGTATTTTAATAACTACATACAGGACCAGGTGGGTACTGGAAATATCAAGGGGAACACTTTGTAAATTATGATTTTTCTAATCATTATGCTGTACTCTTGAAACTAACACAAAATAATATTAAATATAAACTGTAATTGACAGAATTAAAGACAAAAGAGAAGGCACAAATTAATTAGAAATGGGAAAAGGTCATAACTTTTTTTTTTTTTATCCTCACCTGAGGACATTTTCCCATTTTTTGTTCAGATATAGTGGGAGGGAGAGAGACGGAGAGAGAGAGAAAGAGAGAGAGAGAGCGCGCACACGAAACATCGACGTGAGAGGGGACACATCGAGTGGCAGCCACCCACACAACCCAACCAGGGCCGGGGACAAACTGCAACCGAGGTACGTGTCCTTAGCAGGAACTGAACCCGGGTCTCTCCGGACCGCAGGTCGATGCTCTAATCGCTGAGCCAAACTGGCCAGGGCGAAAGGTCATAACTTGATAAAGTGAAGGTCAAAAGGAAGTGACAAAGAACTCTGAAAAAAACTTTATGCCAAATATGCCAAATAAAATGTAAAGATTAGATTAAATGAATAAATTATTAGAAAATCCTGTGTACCAAATAGATTCAAGAGGAAAAAGAAAAACAAGCCCTGAAAAAGAGGTCCTAAATAATCCCTAGCTCCATCTCCCACAGATGCAATACAGATACCCTTAATTGGCTCTGAGCCTTCTCCCTCCCTTTTTGCCCCATGCCACCAAACTCGGGTTAGTGTGAGATATCTATGTCTTTTTTACCTTTATGAGAAAGTTGAGCCAAGTTCCTGTCTGTCATCCACCAGTCTACACCTCTTTCCTTCATGATCATCACCCCTTTCTCCTAGGCTTCTGCAATGAAGCTCCATTTCCCAAGAGTGAAGGGAGCTGGGAGAGTTAGCTATGAGGATAAAAATAAATGCCTGCAATATATCTGCCTTCAATGAAGTACGTTATGAATAATAATGAAGCTCCCTGTGAGTATTTGCAGGAGCTCTCCACTTCCTGCACATCGCCTGTAAACCACCAGCAGTTACTTTCTAAACGAGGCTGAATTAGTTACTTCTCTCCTTTGGTGACTTCCCAACGTTTACCAGGTAAAAGTTCTTCAAAATCACCCCAACATACAGCTGCACTTGGCCACAGCACCTGCTCCTGATAGATTTCTTCATATTAATTCTAGAATATGTCATTCTTTTTTCCTTTGTCATTATTGTTAAAAAGGTCGCCCTCCATTGCGGAGGAGCCCTCCCTACGTGACCTAAACCTGTGTTTCCTGTACATGTGCCTCTACCTATACCTGTGTTTCTTTTTTTTAAATATTTTTTCTTTATTAATTTTAGAGAGAGAAAAAGGGAGAGGGAGAGAGAGACAGAAACTTCAATGAGAGAGAACACTGACTTGCTACCTCCTACATGCCCCCCACTGGGGATCGGGTCCACAATCTGGACATGTGCCCTGACTGGCAATCGAACCTAGGACCTCTTGGTGCATGGGTCGACCCTCAAACACTGAGCCACACTGGCTGGGCTGTGTTTCTTTTTTTTAATAATAATATCTCCCTACAAAAAACTGCACATTTAAGGACAGGGTGTTTGTTTAATTTAACGATTCACAAAGTGTGGTCTAGGTACCCTGGAGGTCCCCAAGGTCAAAACTATTTTTGTGTGTGTGTGTGTGTGTGTGTACAAGCCCCTAGTGGGAACCGAACCTGGGACTCTCTGGTCCACAGGCCGATGCTCCAACCACCGAGCCAAACCCGCCAGGGCCAAAACTATTTTCATAGCCACACTAAGATGCCATAGTGCACAAGAGTCAGGTGTGGCTTCCCCGAGGCTCCAGGATGAAGGATTTATTTGGTCAGCAAAAGGAATGTGCACCTCTGTGCCATTTCTGTCAAGTTTCTCAGTTTTAATTTCTAATATCATAAACATCAATATATAATCCAAATAAACAGAAGCATCTGGGATGCCAAAATATTTTTAAAGCGTCAAAGAAATCCTGACCAAAAAGTTTGAGAACTACTAGTCCAATCATTTTTGTCTTCTCAGGGAAGAACAGAATGA